ACATACACACACACACATACACACACACATAAAGTGCTTTAGCTACAAAACCTTATGTATAAAACAAAGGCCATAAATCTTGAGTAAAACAATTCTTTGCAACAAAGCTCTTTGTGCAGTATCAATAGAAGGGAAGTGCTCATACAATACCCCACTTTAGAGAACTACAACCAGTGACATCCCTTTTACTTTAGAGAATTACTGCCAGTCATATTTCTGTACAGAAATTGATCATGATCTATTTCTAGTCTATCAATATTTATTGGCTGACAAATAGAGTGTCAAGTATATGAATGACTTAGGTTCTAATCACCTCCAAACTAAATTACTAACTGACATAGCACATTTTCTTAGACATCTAAAGCTACATGTTAAAGGCATGGTTGAAGATTCTAATGGATAAAAATGATAAAATGGACCCACCGAATTAACTGGCTGAAGAGTCATCTGAGCATAAACTTCATCTGTCTCTGGATCCACCTAAAAGTATTACAAAATCAGGCATGAAGCTGAAGGTCACTGCAGAATTCAATCATAATTGGCATGTACAAAAGAAAGAAATATCAGGAAATGGTAGCATACATGCAGTGTAACATTGTGAAGAAGGCATATCAACTTTGAGGGAAGACTGGTATAGTTTGGAATATGAGCATCAAGATCCTTTTGCATAGAAGTTGCAACCTGAAATTGTACATATGTTATTAATCTAAGCCATGTAAGTGAAAACCCAGATAAATCTTTTAAACCAAAATTATCAAGTTTCAATGATAATCAGTGGTATGATTAGGAGATCAAGGCGTTAATATCCTTTTGCATAGAAGCTGCAACCTGAAATTATACGTATGTTACAATCTAAGCCATGTAAGTGTAAACCTACATCAATCTTTTTGACCAAAATTATCAAGTTATAACGGTAATCAATTGTATGATAAGGAGATGGACCCAGTTTCAACAAAAATTACTGCAGTAAATAACATCAGTTTAGAAGGTTATAAAATTTCAAACAATAAAATTTTCCTTACCTATAGTAGGAATTTGGCCCATAAGGCTTACAAGAGAATAGCATGTGTCTAATGCTTTTAAAAGTTGCCAAGTAGCTCATTCATTGACACAAGAAGCCAGCTGTGAGTCATGCTTCCATTGACAAAGCACCTAAGATATAAGTATTTTCCTTAACATGAAGGACATGCTCTATCATCTACTCATAGTTCATTGGTATAACCCATGGTTTGCAGTACCAGTCCGTACCGCTCGGTATCGGTCGGTACGTACCGGTCCAATAGGCTTTCGGTACGCGGACCGCCTGTTACCGGTCCGGTACTGTAGCAGTACTGTAGCACTGTAGCAGTGCTACAGTGCTACAGTGCTACAGTGCTCGGCACGCCTGAATATACCACTCGGTACACCTGGGTGTACCGTACCGGTACTGAGCCCATGTCGAAACTCCGGTACGGTACGATATTGTGAACCTTGGTATAACCAACCACATTTACGCACATTTGTTCTGAGTAAAAGGAAAACCCAATCTGATTGATAAAATCAATGCGGATCAAGTGCCTGTAGTAACTGCCAAACCCAATAAACATCAAGTTTGGACTGTGAGTGTTGACGAAAGCCATAACCTAAAAATGAACCAAAGATGAGAAGAAAATTTAAAAGTAAGATATTTAGTTCAAATGGTAATTCAAATGAAAGTCCAAAATACAAGCTACATTTTGCCACAAAATGATTTCTGTAGTTTATATGATAAATATTATTGATAACGCTAAGTAGTTTATCAAACAGAATGCTAGATAGCATACAGAGTATCATATTTATAGATGAACAAGAATTTAGGATACAATGAGAAGCAATCTGGTGCTCCGTAAGTAAATATTAACTAAGAATGAAGGCATGGCTTTCCAGCATAAATAAATGAATATATTAATGTACAGTCACCCTGAATCACTCACAAGAAGGCCACCAAACTATAATAAGCAAGTTCTTTGATTTCAATACATGATTTACAGTGATGATAACTGCCCCAAGGCATGGATCAGAAACATTCTATCCTATTTGGGAACAGAATTTATGTGAATCTGTCTATCTTTCAGCAATAAAACTGCATGAAACAAGCATCACAATCACCGCCATCATTCTTGCCCCCATCTAAACTTAAGATCTGAGGATGACACAAGTTTTTCTCATTTTCACGTGCAAGCCATAACTTGATAATATTATCATAGAAACTATTCCAGCTGTGTTCTGTCAAAAAATGCAAAGTTTCACATATCTCCTATTGCATTCCTGAGAACAAGATATATCTTGTTTTTTTTGTTTTTATTAATCTGATGCTAGAAAAAAATAAAAAATTTTAAGTGGTAATCATCCCAAAAATTACAAAGAGAAGGCAAATGTCAATTCATCTTGCTTGTTTATGACCTCTTAGCAAGTATAAGTTGTTAAGTATACAGAAGGCAAAAAAGGGAACAACGAGGTCTAATTATCATGGAGAAAAATATTAGTAAATGGTGAAAGATTAATGAAAAAGAACTTTTATTAAATAATCAAACATTAAGTACCAACAACCCCACAAAATGATTCCATTTATAACTGGACTTAATAAAAAAAATCCCTCAAATCAAATACCACAGTCAACTCCCTAGTCTCTGCAGATCTCCCAAATACCATTTTACTTCATTTAGAAGACATAAGAACCATAATGATCTAAAATGAATAATTAAAGGCCATCAAATCCGGGGACTCTGAAAATATTAAAGAATAGCATACCCAAACATATGATTAAGAACAAGGAAAAAATAGAAAGAAGCATCATTGCAGACAACAACAAAAAAAAGGAAGAAACGCACGTAAAAGAATGGTTTCTTTAACAAGCTTCAGTACTTCCAACCATCAAAAGAGAATCCTTTCCAATCCGCAGGATTGGGCGAGGCAGCACATTAGCAACCAAGCAGGAAAGAGTAGCACTTATGCAGAGCAACCACACTAGAAGAGGCGACCATGCCCAAATAAGCAAGAGCCCCTTGTCTTGCCTTCTATTTTTACCTGCTCGCTGTGTCCCTGGGGAAAGTACACGACGAGGCTCCCCACCAGCGGCAGCGTCACAAGCGGCCCCGCACACGCATGCCACAGCTCCGGGTTGATCGTCTTCCTCTCCACTGAACCATCACCATCGACAACACAAGCGTCAAACAACCCACACGCCGGCGGCAAACATGGACAAGGGAGCCACTCGAGACCAAACTCACCTTCGTGAGCCGCAGCTCCGTTGGCAAGCCGCTTCATCTTTCTCACTCGGGCGAGCTTCAACACCACCGCCCCCTCGTTCACTATAGTGCAGCCGCCATATGCATCAGACCGGGCGTTCAAGACAGGGGCCGGTGAATCCGGCGAGGCGGTCCGAAGGCCCCGCGTCCGTGGGCGGGCGTCGAGGGGGGCAATGGTCCCTTAGTGGGGAGCCAAGCGAGGAGGGTTCCGTCTCCCGACAAAGCGAGGGACCAAAGAAGCAGCAGCAGCGGAGAAGACGAGACAGGGGAGAGGCGAAACATGAAAGGAACTCGAGCATTCCTTCTCGGTCCAAAAGCCGCTTTCTATGTCGCATCTCCCGGCGGATAATAAGCACTTTAGCCCCCGTCTTTTCGCTCATTCAACTTGTAACCCGGCCGGTTGCGGTCACATCACTCGAATTGCGGACGACTAGGGGCATCGGAGGACCACACGGTAATTGCATGAGATCAAAGGGCTTATTGGCAATAAAACCTCGAGAACAACTCCACCTACGCTCCGATTGGTGCACTCAAGTGGGACCCGCCATAAGAAGCTGAGGGTAACTGAAGCGCGGGGGGCGAATAAACGTTCACGTTCGCGGAATCTGAGATCAACGGCCGGGCTTCCTCCACGTGGCAGGTAACCGCTTTTGCAGGCCGAGGATTCCTTGAGAGCCCGGACGCGTGTCGACGGGGGAGTGGTGGATCAGGTGGCTGTTGGTGTACGATACCTGTAGAGTAGGGAGTTCATCCGATCGAGGCAAGCGTGCGAGCTCCATTTACTGCCGCTGCTTACTTATTTTTCCCCCTTGATTGCTGACCTCAGACACCGCTAACGATCTAAATCACCGCGAGGCACGCAAAACATGCACTACTACGACGTTGCACGCAACCTATTAGACTGTGACGCCTTTTGTCGTAGCTTATGATTGCCTCGTGAGACCATTCGGCAACCTTTTCCTCGTAACTTTCCGCCGGGGTCGGGTAATAAAACTCCCCACGAGTCTACCCACACTTGCACCTTCCTCCGCCATCACGTGCCATGTGAGGTACAACGTGGGTAAACCCTGGAATTAGCCGTCGTTAATCGTGCTTATTTCGTAACTCTACGAGCTTAGTTAGTTTCGGTGCCGCGGCGACGTGGCGTTCCCGCACGTGGACGAGTTGGAAGACCGGGCTTCGTCCATGCGGGGCCCCTGGCGGTCCGCTCCGGTTCGGCCTGTCCTTTTATGGACCGTTCGGCTCGGCCGGTTTCGGCGGCAAGACGGACCGGTTCAGCTTGTGCACGTTACACTAGCGACGGGGAACTCCAGTGACGTGAAGCGAAGGCCGTGCCTTTCGCTTTGTCGTTACTCTGCTCTGTGCTGCGTTCGACAGGGGAAACCTTCGTACGTGGTGTTCTCCTCAGTGGGAGGGCAGCCATGCCTGAGAAGCGGAAGCGAGCACAGGTTTTGTCTGTCTCTCATCGCAGGCTAGTAGAGCAAGTCAGGAAACATGATCTGAAGAAGTTTCAGATGTGAGCTAGCAACGTCTGCTAGATGTTCGATAATATGTGCCAAAGATCAGGATACTGGAAGCAGCAAGCTTGATGAGTTGCTGTTGGCACTGTGTGCTTGTGATCTGATAGTTTCGCGAGACCGACCCTTCGTCGTCGGCCTACAGAAGAGGACACAGGTCGCAGCAGAAGATGTTTGGGAAGGTGAATGTTTCCGCATGCGTTGCATTTTTGTTCTTTGACGGATCTCTCATAATTTCAAAACCCAATATGCTGTGATAAGAACAACACATAGTATTCTACCTGTATTTTCTTGAGTAAAAAAAAAGTATGGTTGCTCCATTCTCACACATGATTCATCTGATAGAAATTAGAGAAAAGCTTTTTAATTGCATGAAAAGAATCATTAGTTTGGTGGAATACCTTTATATGACCTTTAATATGTTAAATTAACCTCTAGATGTATAGGGTGGTACTATAACTAGTTGTAGCTTTCATTTTTCTTTTAGAAGTTTGTGAGCGCAAAGTACAATCCTTCCATGCCTTGGACCATATTAAGACTTTGCACTTTATTTTAGAAAGTTACAATCATGACAAAGCATGCATGTGTGTTGAAAGCAAATACTGGTTAAGATTTCTAAATAGTTCTTCATCTATCATTGTCATAGAGTGAATTTGACAACTACAAAGAATGACACTAGGAATGCTTTAGAGATTCAAACTCATGTGCAAGGAGCTAAAAAGTATCTCCTAACCTAGACTAGAATTGTACAATGAAAGGATAATAATCCTAAGGTCATAAAAGAGTAGATGTGATGAGGTGGTAGGCATTTTAGTATATATTCCTCTAATTTTAAGTGTATAATATATAT